CAGTCTAGCAACATCTGCAGGATTGCAATTGCCCTTTCCTACTCTATCTCTATAGTGGTTCCTAACCTTGGGTCCCCAGATGTTCTTGGACTATAACTCCTAAAAATCCTGTCCAGTATAGCTAGTGGTGATGGCATCTGGGAGTTTTAGTCCAAGAACATCTGGGGGCTCACGGTTGTGAAGCACTGATCTATAAGATATTGCCCATTTTGCAGAGTGAAATGAATGAAAGAGTGGGACATGGAAGGGGGAATAGTGTATAGCAACTTTCTTGGGATGAAGAAATGTATTTCAGAATAAAGTGCATGGAATAATGTATAATAAGATGCAAATATTGTATGTTGATTCCTTTTACCCTGCAACCTTCAAGGCCAGTCATCAGCAGGGGTCCCCAATTTCCTCTGAAACTTTCCCCTAAAGCTGCCTAAATAGATATATCTGTGAAATGAAATATTGGCTTATATTATAGCTCTATAGAGTGAGACAAAGACAAAAGTCTATTATCAAACTGGTGATTTCCAAACTATGGAGGTGGGGAAGGAATCCTGTTTTAATTTAACAAAACACTTTTTCTCAAAAGTCTACTGTCTTAATTGGCACAAGGCCCAAGAGGTCTGAACTGCTGTATGTTTTACGGATAAACAAGGAACAATAGAACAATGGTTCTACTGTTGATGCAGCCAGTGATGCAAGAATAAGAGTTTAAATAAAGATCTAGGTGCGTTGAAAGGTATAATCCTCCTAGTGGTCAGGACAGTGCCAAAAAAACAAGTAAACTATATTTACAGAGGCAAGCCTCCAGTTGTGCTGGGGGGTGGAATAGAAAAGGGCAATGGATTAATCAGCAGATCAGATAACAAGTTAAACAGATCATATACCTCAAAGGTAAGGAGTGTGTGTCCCTCTGAATATTCTTGAACACTGATTTCTATCATGCATGCCTATTGACCGTGCTGGGGAGGGGGGTCAGATGAATGCTGAAGTCTAACAACATCTGGGTACCATGAGTATCTAACCCCTAGTCTGCTATGTGTTGTTTAAGGCAGGTTGGAAGTGTACACAGATAGAATACTGTTGACAAGACAGGTTAAAGCCTGAGATTAGGAGACTTACTACAAAGAACAGGAAGTCAAGAGCAGGTCAGACAAGTCCAGATGCCATGAAAGAAAGCCTGACAAAAAGGGAAATGCTGATGGGGTCAAGCAAGAGGTTTGCTATATGAGATCTAACTCGAATTGGCTGGGGAACATGGACTGTTGCCAGAACTGTACTCATCATGTCAGGGCACATGTGAGTAGGTCTCCTGGCTGTACTTCTAGGTCTAAACTTCATTCCAGCTTTGATGCCAATGCTTTCTGCCAGCTTTGGCCATTACTGACTGATCTTGAATCTTCTGATTTTGGATTACACAATGTTAAGGGCATATGCAAGTCTTAATTTTAACAACTGCTTCTGAGAAATGAGAGACTTCTACTGCTACTATGATACACAGGTCAAAATCTTGTTCCATAAATTGTACCCATGGAAGGGGAATGGTGGCACAAGCAGGGACAGTGGTTCAAGAATCAGTAATTAAGAAATCCTGTTTGTCCTTTGGCCCATATGGCTCATGTATAATGACCCTGATTATGTGTGAGTTGGACAAGCCATAGGACAGAAGCAGGGCCTCTTTAATTACTGAAAATTCCCCATGCCAGTGACTTTTACATAAATTATGCCTATATAATTTCATATTTAATTACATAATTATGCAGCATTATCAACAGAACAGGATCCCTCACCCCGATATTCTCAACTGATTAGTGAAGCGTGTATAGGTCTGTAAAAAATCCAGTTCTAGTGTGCAGTATTTGTGAAGAATTTTCTTAAAGTTATTCCTTCTAGTGCTGCTGTATCCTATAGTGGGCTGGGAATTTCCAAGGGTTAAAAGCTGCATGAGTTCCTCAAGACCCCACCAGCTATTGCACCACCACCAAAATTTAGTGGCAGCCATTAATTATCGTATGCTGTTGACATTGTTACTGCTTAAATTCAGAGGAAATTGTTCATGGTTCCCTTTAGGGGAGGAAGGTGCCTGAGTGTCCTCTGTGCACCACAGAGCATGCATGTGTTCATGTTTCTGTGGCTCTGCTTCCCATCTTCAGTGCTACCATTTGGTAACAAACAAGGGCAGTGAGGCTGCAAATGGGGCTAGGCAGGTCACATGTGGTCCATGGACTCCATGGGGGGCATCTCTGGTTTCCCAGATAGGAAACTCCTCAAAATTGTCATCGGATCAGGTGGCAAACTGCATGCTGTCACTTTCTTTGATGGTGATCTAGCAGAACATATGTTAGACCTAGTTTTTCCTAACAGAGAAGGCCTTTTGCAGATTCTTTTGACTCCTGAAGAACAATGCCTCTCTTTTCATCTGTTTTTGTATTCCTTGGAGAAAAGGTGTTAAATTGTTCTCAATCCCAATGGAAGAAGAAATACGGGCTGTTGCTGAAGTTTTCAGGATAATGCTCTCTCTCATATTCTTGAAAGTGCTATAGGACAGACGTTGAGGAGACACCAGCTTCACAATTAGGAATGGAGCTTCCTTAGGAACTAAAAGGCATCTGCTTTTTCCTGGTATGAAGTTTCATAGGTCTGCAAGTTACATATTAGCTTGCTTTGTTCAGTGACTGTCCCTGAGAGATATGTATGGGACACATTTGCAAGTTGACTGTGGAGACACGGAAGTTTGGGCAAAAATATCTTTTTGGAGGAATTACATTTATCATGTTCTTATTCTGAACCTCACCTCTCACCTGTTTCTGGCTCCATTTGAGAAGAACAGAAGTGTCACTGGATGTGAGCTTGATCTCTGCAATTCCGTAGCTTTTATTCAGCTGTACCTTTGGATATGGTTCCCAATATGAGGAAGTCTAGTGCCATTTTGGGCCATTGTCAATAATTACTCTGGCACGCAATTTAAAATACTGGCATCTAGCTGACCACTGCTGCTATTTGAATGCTCAGGCCCTGCAGACAAGGATGCAGAGGAGGGTATAGAACAGGTGCCAGCACTAGTGGGTTATGCTGAGGTACCGGGGTGGCAAGAGCCATGTGAGAATACTGGCTGCTGATGCTGAGCTTCACCTGCCTCGGTGATGGAAAAAGCACATGTCCCCTTCCTCCAAAGGAATAGAAGATAAGGGAAGCAATGGCTGTGAACATCTATGAAAATGGTCTGTGAAACAGTGGAAGGGCAAACGATAAAATGAATATTTTCTGACCCCCTAGAATCCTAATGCTGCCAGTAAAAAAATGAACCAGATGAAAATTCAGGACACTCGTTTTTGCACAGAACTGGGTACTGATTTTCTTCTTGGAGTACAATTCCCAGAATGCCATAGTCATGTAGCTTTCGGGGAGATGGAGTCCAAAAAGTAAAAAAAAAAAAAAGCAATGTTTCTCACCTCTGCTTATGTATGTATGTATGTATGTATGTATGTACACTGTTTCCCCAAAAATAAGACCTAACCTGAAAATAAGCCCTTGTATGATTTTTCAGGATGCTTGTAATATAAGCCCTACCCCAAAAATAAGGCTTAGTTAAGTGAAACCCCACCTTCCACCATTGTGCAGCAGCCAGAAGATGACATGACTGTAAAATAAAACATCCCCTGAAAATAAGTCCTGATGCATTTTTGGAGCAAAAATTAACATAAAACCTTGTCTTCTTTTCGGGGGAACACGGTATGTACAGTATGTACTGTACCTCCAACTTGGAATCGACTTCTAGTGACCCTAAAAGGGCTTTCAAGGTAAGGGAGATATTTAAGGAGTGCCTTTATCAGTTCTGCACCTCTAATGAGCTTCCATGGCTGAGTGGGGATTTGAAACCAAGCTCCTGCGTTGCAGTATGTCACTCCATAGTGTGTGGCCTTATTGAGGTGTGTGTGGATTAAACTCCACAAAAGCTTGGACCACATAAAGCTTGCTGGTGTTTGCTGCAACAGACCAACACAGCTATCACTCTGAAAAGTATATACAATATAGGTGTCTTCAATACTTATCTCTGTTTTACTCTTCCTTTCTGGAAAGAAGACAAACCTCTTGGGGGACAACCCAAACAAAACTCAGCCTGCATGATATTCCTCCTTATAACGTGTTTTTTGAGTACTGTATTCAGAAACTCCCCACATGAATTACCACAGACATTTTAGTACTAATTAGACATGATCACTAGCCCACTGGCCCAGTCTTTCTATGCAGATCAGGGCCCACCCCACTCTGTGTCCTTTTGGAGATATTGTATATTTTTGGAGTATTGTATATTCATTGTTACTACTGTAATTTTTGATATAAGCTGCCTTGGGTCCTTTTTAAGACGAAAGGCAGGTTATAAATGAATGAACGAACGAACGAACGAACGAATGAATATCATCCTTGCACTTTTGCCCCCTCAATTCCAACTTGATCCTTGTTATCCATGCCAGTATTCGTGTGTTTCTGGATTTCCAAGGGAAGAATCTTCTTCCCCCAAATGGGGAAATACTGTGACTTGGGGGTGAGGTGAGGATTATACAGTGGCATCAAAATTATTTACCCACCTACAGATCAGCAAACACAAGAAACAGAGAAGCAGAAGAAGCTCTTGAAATTTTGGCAGCGATAGCATCACAAAAACAAGGAAAAAGAGAAGCCAAGGGAGGGGAAGAGACCAGTGCAAGTGTCTGAAAGTGATGTTTGGAACTAATCACAAGAATGCAGGCATTCATCTGCATACACACAGTTCTGGAAGCGTCAACAAGGTTTTTTTAAGGAGAAAAAAGGGCAAACTACAGGCAACAAGCTCCACTGATCAAGTTCTCTCTTTGCACTGGAGCTTTAGGTATATAGATAGGTATATAGACAGATATTTCTTCTTTAATACTAGTAGATTTTTTTTTCTGGTAAGTTTCTTGTGATGCTAAATGGGCAAATGTGCGTGGGACATAGAAATCTTTGCTCTTTAAACCCTATTTTAATACCTGTATTCTCTTGTAGTAGCTTGATCAAGGCTTGAGATCCTCACGAGAGATGCTTCTGTTTGTTCCTTCCACCAATAGAGGTATAATTGGTATGGATGCGAAAATCGGCTTCCTTAGTGGTCCTTTTCAGGCTCTGGGTCGCCACAAATGGAAGATAGGTATGACCTGCATTACAAACTCCGTCTTGATTACAGTAGCAGGGTGAGGTACAATTAATAAAAATAACTTTGAAACTGTCCAAATTACTGATATATTTTGAAGCAATGTAAAATAATTTACAACAATTTTACCTGTGGAAAAATTACCCGTCATGCATCTGCTAAGAGTTAAAGAGCTTTATCCTCTTTGATATCTCATCATCCTAGGATTACTCTGGAGTAGGAAATCAGCAGAGGTGCCTTTTTGTAACCCTTACCAACTCCTGCATAATTTGCATATTTATCAAATAATTCACTCCTTAAACCGTCTGGATCTAGGAAAATGTTTTATGACAACTTAAGTTTCTTTGGAAGAGAAAATTACTGAACTGAAGCTATCAAATGTGTGCACCACTCATTTCTTTTAAAAAAAAGTATGAAATAAATGAGTGCACCTGCTAAAATGGGCTAAATAAGCAAGGTGATTGAAAATAACTGTTTTTTTAAAAATGGAGGTTTATGACTTGTGCAAAACTTTTTGTCAGGTAACATGGGAAAGTCCCTGAAAGCCTGCTCTTTTCTTTGTTGACAAGGATTGTGTGTGGTGAAACTTGATACCAATGTCTCACCTAATTCTTTTTCTCTCAGGTAAAAATGGTGTACCAGAAACTGCAGTAAATGGCCAATACAGATTCAGGATGGATCTCTCTTTCTCTCTCTCATACACATACACCTTCATAAAAAAAGAAGCTCGATCAATATTGAAATAGCTCTCTCCGAAAACAAGACAGATGTTCAGAATAATTTATCCTTATTTAACCAATCTGCTTTCATTTTCCAAGAGGTTTAGTGTTCTAAAACCTCCACTGCCCATGTGTAAATGAATTAGTCATAATGCTAGAGTAAATGCAACAACTTTATAAAATCACATATCTGTTCTGTTTGCGGAAAATACACAGTGGAGGGTATATTCCCCACCTCTGTTTTATGAGGCTTTCAGAAGATAAAGAAACTTATTAGAAATGTGGTGGTTAGCTGACTTATTTTATGCTTCACACAAAGTTGCTGTTCCATCTTCTTTTCTCTCACCCACCCTCCTTGCCCCATCCTGGATCGGACACTTGCAAAGGAAACTTGGCACTGTTGTCCTGTGTTCTACTAAGCAAGTGGAATTTGCTCCCAAGGAAGCAGGAGTAAAATTAGGCTGAGAGAAAAAAAAAAGTTGATGAAAAAGCATTTCCTGAATTTAAAACAGAAGTGGGGGCTTCCTGCAGGAGCTGGCATTACCATTTGGCAGAGCAAAACAACTGCCACACATAGAATGGTTTTAGGTGGTGTGAAAGGACAACAAACGGTTAGATATTTAATTTGCCATTTTACTGGCAAGAATAAGGAGAGGTAGTTATGGTACATTCTATCTCAAGTATCAAAATAATTAGCTTTGGTTACTCTGCACCCTGACTTGATAGTAGCTCCAAGATGCTTGGCATGGGGGTCCAAGTGAGGCAGAGGAAGGTCTTGCTATGGTTTTATGGCCAGTACTGCTGCCTGAGGACACCATGAATTAGTGCTTTCCCTGCTTCCTCATTCACAAATCACCACCATAGACAATATATCTATTATCTCCCATGGTATCCCGCTTCAGCAGCCCAGTTCCCCTGGCCAGTACAGTCAGTGTCATGCTTTTGGTATGGGAATAAGATGGCTGCTTTATATTTGTCTGTATTTCTAATTCTGTCTTCTCTTGAAGTTTATGATTTTGTGCTGTTGTATTGAGCACAAGAGGTAGATGAGAAGGTTAACCATCAAAACAAAAGGTGAAGGTAAGAAGGCTTTCACATTCCACTTTCCCATAAACTGAAGCAATTCGGCATAGTGGTTTCCTGTCATGAGAACACCCAACAGGAAACGAGGTTAGAGTTCTTCCACAAGGAACTCTTCCTTATGAGAATGTCAATATTATGCCCTTAACCAATGTTTCCAACAGATACTTGTGGCTTCATCTTTCTTCTATACTCTTAAGGGTTATTTTTGTATGGTAAAATGGAAATTTAGAAGGGGATGAGTGCCATGGTGACTTCATAAGAGACAAATATTGGTAAAGCAATAGGTTTCTTAGTTTAGCTCCCCACATGAGATGTAGCTATGGAATAGAAAGAGGGAAGGAAAATTGGCAGACAAAGTTGATTTTAAAACTTAGCACCCCTCATTTGATGCTAGCTGACATTCATAATATGAAATCTTAGAATTCTACAAATGATGGTTAAACAAAACCTCGTGTTCTTCATGGCAATCATATAAAGCAATGGGAGTGGATAGGAACTGGAGTCCAGCAAGATTTGCAGGTGGGGGATCCAGCAGCTGATGACAATTGGAGTCCAGCAGCAATTGGTGAGGCATAGAACCCACACCTTTAATGTAAATACAAGACCGTACATATATCCATAGACATCAGTGCACATACATCTGGTATAATCCCAGACAGACATTTGCAGGTGTTCAAAGATGTATGCACCACACTTTTCACATTTGCTGCATCTACATCAAATGAGCACCTACTCTTTGACTACCATTCTACCCATCCTGGTTAAAATTTCTGTGCATCTTGAAGGAAGAGCAGAGAATGCCAGGACTATCATGGGGAAAGAAAGAACTACCACCTCTTGAAATGGATGGAACCCCAGGGAGGTCTAGCTTCCAGTTGCACAGAGAACTGAGTTAACTTGAAGTCATTAGGCTGCAGACTGGAGTTGGCAGAATCAAGATGAATATAAGAAAATTGGGGTTTTGCACTGACACAAGTCTTTGTGAGAGCAGAGCAGAGAAGGTAACTCCAAACCTACTTTAGGCCTCTCAACATGTAGTATGGAAGATCTGATGCTAGATATTCCATATAGTCTTGATATTGCCTGTTACTGGGCAAAAATGGTCTGATATGTTATTGTACTGTGGTGCTTCTGACACAAAGAAAGAAATTTGTTGCATGAAACCACAGCTGTCATCTTTCTCATCTTCTTAATGATGATCACAAAATATACATCTGTCAACATGTGGAGGTAAGAGGATGGTGGGTCTCCTTCCTCACGTGATGCAAATGCCATTTCCACCCAGCCCTGCTAAATCTATGCAGCTGGTCTAAATATTTGCTTGGGATGCACAAGCACTGATCTATCTTTCAATTGGTTCCTGGACAGATGGGAAATGAACTTCCTTGTGCTAATGCTATCCTTTTGCTGAGGCTGTGCCTTGAATAGGCTTTCCAAGTAATCTGCTTCCCATTTCTTGGGATTTCATAGCCAGAACCATAGAGTCTTGTTTGGGCCCTTAGGATATCACAAGGGGTGGACCCCTGTGTAATATTTTCAAAAGTGTGTGTGTGTGTGTGTGCGTGCGTGCGTGTGTGTGTGTGTGTGTGTGTGTGTGTGTGTGTGTGTGAGAGAGAGAGAGAGAGAGAGAGAGAGAGAGAGGCAGGCTGACTGACTGACTGACTGATAGACATGTAGATTTCTATTCTAACTCCTAAACAAATATTCATTGCTCAGCTCATGTACAAATACTTTTATACTGAAAAAGTTAGAAGTGGGGAAGAGGCATTGGAGCCAACATACACAATAGAGTCAAACTTTCTCCTCCTCCGGCACCATTCACCTCAAAATGTCTCTCCCTATCTGGAGACCTGGAAAACAAAGCAATCTTGGAGACTTCAGCTGACACTCTGAGACCTTGGCAGTTCTAGAGATGAAGGTGGCACCCGAGCAACGGGAAGCTCGTAAGATGGCTGGCCAGGATGGCAGGAGAGGCCAGGGCTGGAAAGGGAAGGCTTGTGGCTTCCAGGAGCACAGGAAAGGCTGAGTGCAGACTGGAAAAGAGCTGACAGTGTTATGTCATGTTTGGCTATGAAGCCCTTACCAAACTTTTCATGGGCTGGAAAAGACAAATGCTGTAGGTAGGTTTTTGACTGCTGTTTGTTTTGGGAAGCCAGAGCAAGATGTCTGCAAACTGGCTTTGCCCGTTGGCTTTGCCAACTTTGGGTTTCTTCTTCTCCCTCCCCACATGTGTTATTCTCCTTATATTGTTTATTTTGCAAGCACTTCTGGTTTTTAATATTTGATTAATCTGGAAAAGTGCAGCTAGTTAATGGACTGCTTTGAGTTTGACTGGAGTTCTGATTAGTTTCCGAGGAGTCTAACTTCATTAGCTATACTTGCAAGGATAAGTGCAAGATTTGGTCTAATTGAAAGAGAAACCCAAGCTTTCCCAAAAGGAGCTGCATGTTTCCTTCGGTGTTCAGCCTAAGCCTAAATAAAACATGACTATTATTTTTTTTACACAGATTCCCGCTGTCAGATCTTCTCAAATGTTCCTTCTAAAGTGCTCTCTGCATTCAACCTTGATTAAAGATCAGGCCAAGCCGTCTTTAAGAAATGCTGGGCTTCAGTGATAGACAGATGGTGGCTTTCATGATGTCAGGAAGTGTCAAATATTATGGTTGGCTGTAGAGTGATGGATACTTTCCAAACAGATTGAACAACAGACAGAAAGAACAAGAACACCATTTGTTTTAGTTAGATACATTGTGAGCAGAAGGAAGCAAGGCAGAGCATAGTTTGACACATCTTTCCCCCTCTGCCCAAAAACTATTTAGAGTTTGCTATGTTTTATTAGCCCTTTCACGATGCAAAAAGGAAAAAAGAAGAAAAGAAGAAAATGATCCAAGTTGGTTCTTCTCCTACACCCCCTTTTGTTTTAAAGGGGAAAAAAAGATTTCTGTTGTGACTCTCTGAGGAATGTGTTTATTTTCATTTTAAAGATTAATTAGAATGGCTTAATGGTCTGACTAAGCTTCTCTAATTCAAAGCGAAAACTTTTCAAGTGTTACTGTTCCGTTTACATAACAGGAGTTCCTTCCAGCCAAAACTGACAAGCCAGCTTAAATAGAGTTAGTAAAAGGCCCAGCAAAACATGTGTAATGCAGAAAAATTCACAATTATTGGTCTTCAGTAGTGCCAAGCAATGTGACCGGGGAGAAAATATGGACACTAATTGTAAACTAGTTGTATTCAAAAGTTGGGAGAGGAAATTGGTTATCACTCTTCTCTCCTGAGCAGTCAAGATACAGGGCTGATACATTGATGGGGGAGAATTCCAGTTTCCATTTAAATATCATCCTTTTCAGGCCAGAAACATCATATAAAATGGGCAAACCAACCTTTCTCAAATGTCTGTGTTGCCTTGTCATACAGCTTTGCATTAATTTGTCTCTTATGGCCATTGGATAGCCAGAGGTACTATTATAGATTTGTATGGTTTATAATCCTTTGCTAATAATATAGATTATTATCACTTGATACCTTACCACAGTTTTGTATGCAATCCTGTTGTAGCCTTCTGTTTCTTCATTACTAAAATTCCTAGTGGCACAGTTAAATTGATGCAATTTCACAACACCTCTGTGTGTGTGTGTGTGTGTGTGTGTGAAAGAGAGAGACAGACAGACTTTGATCCGGAATTAGTTGCTGCACTACTGTCTCAGGGAGACAACTGAGTTGGAGCTGAAGACCACATGGGAAAAGGCAATCAAAAGTAAGTTTGCATAGTATGAGTTTTGCCTTTGAATCTTTTAAGGCTGAAAAAAGCATAGATCAGTTCTATGGTGGGTGCTTAGGTATCCTGTTGTCACTAATAATTGATCAGAAACAACAACAGAAGAAGCTTTCCTGAGTTTAG